TCTGCCCTTAACTTTACCTATGAATTGAATAAAAAAAACCTCCCATTATTGGACTGTCTTGTAGAATACAGTAATAACAGTTTCACCACCTCATGATATAAAAAACTCACTAGCAGAAAATCTTTCCACCTTAATTGTAACAGTGAATGCCCACTTAGATATAAAATAGCAGTTATAAATAATCCTTAAGAGAGCACACGTGATTTCATCCTCTCGTCTATTTTTTCCTTAAAGAACTCAATAATGCAAAATAGACGCTAGTTAACAATGGTTTTCCTAACTACCTCATCGACCACCAGATAAGGCTATTTCTTTCCAAAGTAACTAATAACGATACTGAACGTACAGATAAAAACAATAACAACGACATCTTCTACAAAAGCCAAATATATGTCAAATATAATGACTACCCCAGTCGACAGGAACAAGAAAATTAAATTAATTATGCATTACAAAAATATGAAAATAGTTAATCTATCATCAAAAATAAAAACACACCAGAAAAATCAAAACTACAAAGAACCAGCATTATTTACGCGTTCAAATGCCCCTTAAGGAACCGTGTTCCTGGTCAAACTAAACTCATAAATAATTACATCACTACTACATAGCTACCCAGACGATTTACGTTATACCTACCCGACCATAGCTCCATTAGGACTCATTAAACAGACATTAAAATCTATCAGACTCCATCCGAAATATACCAGTAGAAAATACAAACATAATAACCTTCTCCACATGTAAAAAAAGAAATTAAAAATAATGGAAGCCATAATAACAAAAAAGAAAAAGCCAACACTTAATATTATTAACTATGAACATGGCCACAATGTGCTGACCGTGTTTGAAAAATAAAACTCTAGATGCATACATGACAAAACCCCTACATTCAGTTAAAAGTCAAAATAAAATCATCCTTGATAATGGCTAAAAATATAGTCGAAAGCGGTCAGACGCAGAACTTTTGAACAGTTTTTATATACTTTGTGTCCAGAAAAGAAAGCACTTGTACGAATACAAAAAAAAAAATAAATAAATAAAAAAGCTTAATTGAAGTAACTTGTTAGTTGTCTTTAATGAAACACACACAAAAATACACACACACACATATATATATATGTGTGTGTGTGTGTGTGTGTATTTGTGTGCGTGTGTGTGATTGTGGGTGTGTTTGAATAATGTCAACAGGAAAACCTATTCTTTACCGACGCTTGGTGGAACACATCAAGGTAATCAGATATATATTTTATCATTTTAAACGTTATTATAAGTGGATACTTGTATTCGAGCAGGCGCGACGTTTATACATTGAATAGTATATTTATCTATATTCACCTACCGGCCTGAATATTAAAGAAAAATTTGCGCTTCCCGGCAGGAATCGAACTTGCGTCTCTGTTTAATATACGAACGGAGCGCCTACTTAAATACGAGTATCCAGTCATAGTAACGTTTAAAGAGAAAAAATGTTTGATGAATTAAAAAATTCATCCTATATATATATATATATATATATATATATATATATATATATATATATATATATATATATATATATATATATATATATATATATATATATATATATATATATATATATTTTTATGCAAAATGGATGATGACAATATTCTTTGTATGTTAGTTAAGTTTTTTATTATTATTTAGCGGACATGTGGGAGTTAAATAAATCTCAAACTGAGGTTATTAACGTCTGCCGGCTTTGAAGTTTAGGACAGTACAAAAAATATTCTTTAATAAACACTGACGAAGGTTACAAGAGTAACCGAAAAGTCCGTGATTTCTGTGATTTTACATGCCAACAAAATAAAAAACAACATTGACATTATATTTGCATGCACACACACAAACACACACACACACACACACACACACATATATATATATATATATATATATGAATTAGGAAACAACGGATCCCACTTTAGTATTAAGATTTCTACTACTTCTACAAAACGCAGTTTAGTACAGAAACACATTAAAGTATACTAATAACGACCCCCCCCTCCATGGAAATGACTAATGGATTGGCCGAAAGTGCAATCACATTCAACCCTGATAAAAAATAAACTGTAAGAACATTAAAAAAACATACAAAATTTTTCATATCCATCACATTCAATAAAACATGTATAAAGAAATTTTTCTTTGCTCCCCTTATATATATATATATATATAGTATAACCCGGATATAAGAGAGTTGTCGGGACCGGAGAAGAAGCCTCTTATATCCGGGTTTGGTCTAATCTATATACATTAACACAGGCTGTAATTTGGGACCAGAGAAAATCTCTCTTTTATCCGGGTTTCTCTTATATCCGGGTCTCTTATATTCGGGTTACACTATATTCAATAGGTTTGACAACTCTTCACTGGATCATCATCCTCTGATAGAAAGACATGATAACACTGAGCATCCTTTCAGGAACAACAAGTTTTTTTGTAAGGATCACCTCGTCTTTTTCTTGTAGTTGGCTTGCACTTGTATCCCACGCCCTGGAGGATATGGAATGAATCGTTAAGAAATTCTCTCATGCAGCAAATGCTTTCGGTCTGATTATCAATCTAAAAAAAAAAAAATGGAACCATTCCATCAGCCTATCTGTAGCCATCTGCAGCTGTTGATCTCACTGTTTATGCTGAGGGAAAAGTCTTGAAAACCCTTTTCTCTTTCAGCTCCATTGGCTCCATTGCATCTAACAATGCTAAAACGGACAAAGAAATTAAGAGCAGGATTGGAAAGGATAGTTTTATCTTCGGTAATGTCTATCACAAGCTTTGGAATACCATTAAGGTGAAAATAGGTGTACAATTCACTACTCTATCGTGCATAATCTTGTACTCTCTACCGACGAAATATCAATTAACTTGATGCCCCCAACATCCGTTGATCTGCAACAGAAAACTGGGTGATCGCATTAGAAACAGTGAAGTTCCGATTAAATGCAACATGACGTGTATTGAAGCCAATGAAAATCCAACTTAGGGCATCCATCTTGTATGAGCAACAGCAGACTTCCAGAACAACACTTTGGCCAGACTCAAAGACATTCTGAAGCGATACAGCATCCCCTTTTCTTCCCGGGAAACCAAAACGTTATAGCGAAGGAACTGGAGTTTGTTCTGATTCTCATGCAAAGGTTTGAGCGAGGCTGACTTGAACCTCGGGAAGTTGGCAGCAGGCGGCTCCTCTCAATGATAACATTACCTGCAACTGTGACTTTGTCACATGCAGTAAAACAGGCGTTGCTCTCCACTCATGGCACGTGGGCAAAATGGCTCAACCACATGTTGCATTTGTTTAAATGTTTGCAAAACATATGCAGACCTTGGGAGAATTATGCGTGTCCAAAAAAGTCGTACACTTCTTTATTTTAATAAACCCTCATTTATCGTCCAGAGTGCGATGGGTAAATTTTCGCCAATTTATATTTTTAATGTTGCGCATGTGCATTGTTTGCTTTTGATTTTGTTGACTGCACAGTATAGTCGGTCAGTTGGGCAACGACTATGAAAAAAAGAACACCATGACGCAATTCGCTCTGCCATAAATTTGAAAACGGCATGCTGTACTGCGTGGTATTCGAACTGGAAGCTCCAATAAGAACATTTCTGTGTTTGGGTGTCAATCCGAGGACAGTGCAGAGGATATGGAAAGAGTTGAATGAGTCTAATGGTGATTACGAAGGTGTTTGGCGTGATCACAAGTGATGGTGACGTTATGTCTCCATTCATCTTCCTACAGGTCCTCAGAATTAACACGGCGGCTTACATCAAGTGCTTTGTGGAAGTAGTACTAACCTGGATCAAGTGGGTGCCTGCTGGAAGACCCTATGTCTGGCAACAGGACTCTGCACCATGCCACACAAGCAGGAGAACCCAGTCATGGCTATCAGACAATTTCTGCGATCATAACACCCTTGCGACCTAACTCCAAAGACTTGCAACCCCCTTGATTATAAGTGCGGGTGCAGTTGAGATAGAGACCAACAAAACTCCTTGTAACACCAAAGATAAACTGAAGGCAAGGATTATGGCAGCATTCACCAACTTAAACAAGGAAAATGTCCAGAAGAGTTGCAGGAGATCCTGAAGTCCTCTGGAGGCCGTGGTTGAAGCCAATGGCGATTTTATGGAATAAATTTACTCTTTTGTATTTTAAGATATTTTTGTGTAATTTTGGTAAATATATTTAAAATGAGATGTTTGCGTAATTTAGACGACAATTTATCCATCGGAAGGAAGAAACGGATTCTTACCTTTGGATGTTTAATTCACTGTCCACTTTTATATATATATATATATATATATATATATATATATATATATATATATGATCACTGAAGTTAAGCAACGTCGAACCGGAATGACCGCATGGTGGAAAGCAATTTTTAGAATTTTCCTAAAATCCAAACATATTAGTCTGTATTTACGTATTCTCTTTTATCAAGGAAAGATATCAAAAACCATTAAACAATATTTATTTATTGAAACGTGAAAACTGTTGGCAGATGCAGAGAGAAGGATGCAAGCGTTTGAGAACAAATGCAATAAGAAAACTCCTTGGCATGTTCTATTGGGAACGAAAAAGCCAATGAGTTTGTGCGGAAAAGGCTTGAAAGTTTTGTGGGCCACCAGGAACCTCTTCACGCCATTGTCAATCGGAGAAAAATCATGCAAGGCACCGTTGAAAAAAATGGTTGGACAATGTCAAACAATGGACAGGTATGACTATAAGAGAGTTACTGATGGCGTGGAAAAGAGTTAGTGTGGCTTCTGCATTCGGATCCACCCTACGATTACGAAAGTCAAGGGGATGATTTATTTATGATATTGTTTATTTACAAGAGCAATTTCATATATACAGTTTCATAAAAATAAGGGAATCAACTACAATGTCATATTTATCATTTACCATATTATAGAAAAAATAATTACGAAAATAATTATTTTGTTAATCAATTTATAAAATGGTAGGTTTACGGCCATATCACGTTGAAACACCGGTCCTCGTACGATCACCGAAGTTAAGCAAGGTTGAGTCTGGTCAGTATTTAAATGGGTGCAACTTGGGAATACCAGTTGCTTTAAGCTTGGATGTGTGGTGGTGTAATGGGTAATAGCTCTGAATTGTTAATTGGAGAGCCAATTTCCTTTGGGTTCGTCATATTTATTTACGTGAAAATACCCTTCGGTAAAGTATGAATCCTTCTCTCCCAGCTATGGGTTAATTAGTAAGACTTATATCACTAAACTATTATTATCTCCAAAGAAAAAAAAGCACTCTGAAAATATTTTCTGGCGATAAATAACCTGCAAAGGGTTGATAATCCATAAATAATATTCAATCATTAAAGTTTCTGTGTAAAGTACATTTTCAACAAGATATAATTTATAATTTTAATTTTTTTTTCATTATGAATAAATAATTAATAAGTAGAGGTCAAGAAATGAGATTATTATTGCTATATGCATATTGCAATTCCTGCAACTGTTATCGTTGATTAAGTATCACACGATGCTTACGTGGGTCAGTGCGACGAGTCGATGAAACTACTTGTAGATCGATCACTTAGGTATATACGAGTTGGCTAAAGTTCAACTTGTCGTTGGTTGGCGCAGACGAGTTATTGAGAGTTTATCCACAGATCAGACAGGTTAGCGAAGACATTTGAGTCGATTGAGATGTAGGCTAATGGCGGAGATATGCGGCTTAACTCTGTACTGTCTGTCGTTATAGGCAAATAAGTTCGAAATGGACGACGAGAAAGCTAGGTATAGAAAAGTCTCATTGGTCAGGCTACGTGTATTCCCTGACAAGATCTGATTGCTTAAACAGCGCGATAGAAGCTTCTAAGTTATATAATTATATGGCATTCATCAATTAAACTGTATTGGTAAAGATCGACTTTATCTTTCATTTGTCATTGTGTGGGAGAACATGCCTTTTCCCAACTTCGGATGTTTTTGTAATTCCAAGCAATGTTTGTCCGCTTATTATCCCCCAATTGTCCCTGCTCTGACATACATTAGATTTTGGTACCCCCCTGACCTTCAATATGTCTTGTGAGTGACAAATTTTCCATGTCATATTTCCTCAGTATGTGTCCCAAAAATTTCAACTGCCTGTTTCTGATTCTTAGCACAGCTGAAATTTTAGTTCCCATTTTCCTTCATGGTTCCTATATTCAGTCGAATATATTCTTAGATTCCTGCATCCTGTCCTGGGTATTACGATAAACTACACCCGTGTCCTGGGTAAGACGATAAACTGCATCCAGCAGCAAGGACTCTGATCAGGAGGTTTTGAGGAGCATGGAACCACCTCTTAATTGCTGGTTTTTCCAAGTCCATTACTCGTGTGTGGGATATCTGTGGATGTTGGTTGGTTGGTTGTTTTTGTTTAGCAGTATATCAACCTCTATGGGTCATAGTCCTGAGTATGACGATAAACTACATCCACGTCCTGGGTAAGACTATAAACTATGTCCAACAGGCCTCTGATCAAGAGGTTTTGTGGAGTGTGGAACCACCTCTTAATTGCTGGTGCTCCCAGGTCCACCCTGACCCGGGGTGGTAGCACCTGTCAGGATCCCAGGTATGGTTAAGTAGTTAACTCCCGAAAAGGGATCCAAAAACTATGAAAGTATAAAATAGGTTTCAATACTAGCAATACTGTTTTGGAAACATTTTTATCAGCAATATATTTAAAAAAAAATATATTATCAGCATTACGTTTTTGAGAAAAAAAGTATTATCAGCAATAACAATCTTGTCGGCATTAAATAACCCATTGAGATTGATATGCCGTAAAACAAAACAAACCAAACCAAACCAAACAGCCTTCATCAATTCATCTGTAAGGAATTTGTCTAACATTCACTGATAAACATTGAAGAGGTTTGATAATAATACATAGCGATTCATCACACTTTTCTTTGTTTCTAACGAAACTTTCTTGTTATTTAGTACTTTGCCTTAAACTTTGGAAGGTCCAACGTGTCTTCGGATTTCGGCCTCACATTCTTCTGTTTCTTAATACTTTGTTTAGCTTTTGGAAGACATCTTTCACTATTCCAATACGTCTTCGGATTTATCTGTCCTAATTTCCGTCGTCTGTTGTAACCTTTAACATAGATTTAAAATTTCCGTATTGATTGATTCTGACGCCCCTCCAATCTGAGGCTCGCATCCTTGACTATCCTTCTTGCTAACGGCCATTTCTTCTGTCTTTTATAATTCTCTTATTTCTCTCGCTTTTCTTTACAACTTTCTGCAGTAGTTCTTGCAATTTTCATTCTCTGTCTGTCATCCCCACGGCAACATCTTTCTTTTAATCAATTCACTCCAAGCAAGGCAACAAAGTCACTAAGACGCAAGGCAGTACTGATTGTTAGAGAATATAAAAAAGAAATACTGTTATATACTATTATGGAGAGATAACAATAAAAGAATAATAATTTAGAAGACAGAAGATAATGATTGACATTGCATTTAAAAGTTGACTGGGAATCAAGAAGCCGGAAGACAGTTCCACAAGCGAGAAGTGCGATAGAAGAAACTATAGCATAGAACTTACGGTTACATCTAGCCATTTCAACTATAAAACGGTGAGACCTTGCCGCTAATCTTGCACTAGGCTTAAATTCATAATGGTACAATTCGCGTATGTTTTTAATATTGTGTCTACCAATCATACATCTTTGTATGTTTTCTTGATCTTTTAGGATCACCTCACATGTATAGGTTAGGCACATCCGGCGAGACGGTATATCATTGTCTTACGCATATTTCTATTTTATGTGTACTTTCGCAGTTCATTTCCTATCCGTATGTAGGCGGTTTCTTCCAGTAAATCTGCTGAGTTCTTGTTATTGAGTTGCGACGCTACACCCATCCAGTGTTGCACACAGAGCCTTACACCCATCCAGTGTTGCACACAGAGCCTTACCTCAAGACTGGGGAAAACTAGATGATGCCCAATAGTTTGTAATTTCTAGCATTAGCGGTTGGGGTCACCATGGGTGGCATATCCCCATTTCGGAAGGTTGAGTCTACAATGACTAACATATACTCAGAGGTGATGCAGACAGGACTAGAAGGGTAAGGAATCAAGAAGAAAGCAATCTGTAGCGCTGAGAGAGAGAGAGAGAGAGAGAGAGAGAGAGAGAGAGAGAGAGAGAGAGAGAGAGAGATCTTGTATTACACGTTGTTAAGGTGGCTGCACCTCAGCGACAGACGTTGACTAGGAGCTTCTCTTGATTCGAAAGAATGTAGAAAACTGTGTCTTGACGAGCCTCTTTGCTATTGGTTCACAGGAGTGGATGACGACGGTCAGTTTCCTGTTTCAACTTCTAAAATTGGGAGTGGACTGTCCTTCTGATGTAAGAGGGAGAGAGATGCCACTAATCAAGTCGAGGTCATCTACTTTGGTTGGATTGAGACAACCAGTGACTGACCTACAAGAGCCGTTTAGTACAGGGTCGAATTTTCTTTGCATGTGAAATAAATGTGTGGAATTTTTCTAATATATTTCGCCAATAAATGCATTTTTTAATTAGATCTTTTGCCGTATTATATGAAATACTTATACGTAGTCTATGAAACATTTTATTTTTACAGATCGCTTTGAAAGCATATTAGTCATAAGGATTGCATTTCCTGTTCAGTGACTTTGACTGTTTTTTATTCTATTTCCGGGTTAAATCTTTCTACACAGGATATTTATCAGGATCAAGAGGATAAACATAGTTACGTGACATTCGATTTTAACTGGATTTTTAGACAACGCCATGGAAATGAACCTACTAAAGTCTTCCGTTGTCTTATAATTTATACACTAAATCTTTAATCTTGTTGATGCCGAAATCATCTAAAGCAGATAAGCTGATAAAAACCCATCTGATCCTGCTGCTTTTTAACTGTTTCACGAAAAATATTTAAGAAAATATTTTTACTTCAGGGAAAATAAAGTTTCATTTTAAAACATTAAAATTAAAATATGCTACTTCTGTTCCATAAAAATTATTGAACTTGCGTGTGAAATATAGATTCATATGTAACAAAACCAATATGTTGTTCAGAGACTGTCATAAATCTGTATCTGTCTATATTTCTGAGATGAGGTATTATTTGCACTATTTACATCATTCGGACTATTTTCCTTATCTTTGTTTCCATATTTATCACAACGATTCGGCTGTTGTACGCTCCGGCCTTCTTTAGGTGGTTGGAATGTCGGACTGAGCCCTTTATTTCGCTCGCTTGAAGCTTCAAGAACACCAAAAGGCTGTAATCCGAGAGGAAGTGGAACAATCAGGCGCGGCTGACAACATATGGAGAGAAAAGGGAGATCACCGCCTTCTGTGGGATCAGGTTGAAATTTTATACAAAGAACATCATTGGAAAATTCGTAAACGTATGGAATCAGCACATATGCTATGCTCAGAAACCTCCTGAGCCGACCAAGCATAGAAATGAATATAATATGGGAGCCAGTAATAAGGAGTGTCAGGGAAAAGCAATAATAATGACGGAAATTGCAATATGAGCTCTGGTAAAAAATATAAAATGATAACAGCAAAAATTACAATATGAGCACTGGTAAAAATGGTTGCTGAAGACATTAAGTTTATAAGTCCCAGAAATTCATACACAGATGTCCTTAAGGGCACATGGCACAGTAGATAAAGGCGTTGGTTAGATTCATTGACAGGACCCAAAGAGTTGTGCCTTAACTAATACCTGGTTAAGGCAGTGGAGAACTTGGAGAGGTGAATTATCAGGAGATAACAGACATCCATTAGACATGGCACGTGGAACTAGAACAGTCTACCCCAGCGAGCGAAATAAAGGGTTCAGTTCGACATTCCAACAACCTGAAGAAGGCCAGAGCGTACAACGGCCGAAACGTTGTGATAAATATGGCAATAAAGATGAGGACAGTAGCCCGAATAATATAAGTAGTGCCATAATTCTCTTGTAAAATATCGAGGAAAAATGTGTTTCAAGCATTTTAGAGATACTGTTTGTAGCTGGAGACAAAGTACAAAGTTCAAGGTAACAAAGTACAAAGTACAAACTAAAA